CTCCCTCTCGGGTAGCCCCGCCGCCGGGCTGGGCCCGCGCACGGCCTCTTCGGCTCTCCGCCTGCACATCCTTCCTCTCGCTGCGCCCCTGCTGCGCCCCTGCGTGCGAGCGGCCGGCGTCTGTGGCCAGCTCGCTGGTGTTCGTCTGGAGGAAGTGATATTTTTGCCACCGATGAAGGAAGAGGTCCCAGTTGAAATCGCGGGGTAAATGGCAGATGGTGCTTCTTAGCTTCAGCTCCATTAAAGAATTTGGATTCCACATGCCTTATGCTTTCTATTTATTGAGGGCTAGGAAGAACTCACCGATCTTAATTAAAAGCAGCTGTTAATATTTTTTTTTTTTTTTAAAACCAAACTTGAAATTGTTGTGAATACTTGCTTGATGCTCACAGGCATACGTGCTTATTTGTAGTTGACTTAGTGCCTGACAAATAATTCTCACTTCTGCCTTTAGAGCAAATAAACACGCAGAATGCTGCTATCTCTTACAGGACACAGTTGTAAGACAAGATAAGAGGACGTTTAAAATATATATAGCAAAGACACGTGCTTTCTGAGAAGAATATAAAATCCGTGGAATATAATTGAGATTCAGATAAGAACAAACTATATGCAAAGTTCTAAATAAAAGCCTTCGGATAAAATACGCTTTGCCTCTATTAGTCTCTGCAGTTTTCACAGTGTAGAAGTTTAAATGGCATCACTGTGAAATGGTCCTGTGATTTCATTTTTGGTTTTTTTTTGTTTGTTTTTTTTTTTAATTGGGGGGAAAAAAGCTAATTAGATGAGGAACAGGAGTAAGTGATGACATTACATGGGGGTTGTGACTGACATAAAATGGTACTTTGGCAGAATTTGTAACTTCAAGCTTTTGTATATGCATCACTGTATGCAGAGCGATTTTGCTGTATCAGTAAGTATTTCCTGTGAGGCCTGAGAGTAGCCGAATTCTCTGCCTGCTATGGTTCCTATGCAACTAGCCATTGGCTCCATTTAGGTCACAAATGTCCTTGTAATAAGATTTCAGCAGAGAAGTGATCACTGTGATCTTAAGTATGTGTAATGGTGCTTTTGGTGACCAGCAGCTCCTAAAAACCTTGGAGCAATGGTAGCCAGAAATACTACCAAGTAGTGTAGCTTTTGGTTGAAGAGCGGATAGGTTCATGATGGGTGCCGCTGCTACCCCACCATAATCTCATTAAAAACTCGGAGTGAGGGGCGGACGCAGTGATATACTGTGCTTCTGCATGTAGGCCATACTGAATTGTAACAAAATAATTTGTTTTTATGCCGCGCTGGTTTGCATAATACCAGTCTCTGGCCTATTTTCGGCTTCTTAACATGGCTGTGTTTTTCCCTCAGCAGAGGGGTGTATTTCGTCTGTGGCCTTCCAGCCCTAGCAAAGGGAGCAGGCTGGAAGCAGGCTGTGCCGAGGTTATGCTCTTTTCGGTCACAGCTCTCATGGTGCTGTCTTCTGGGGAACAGCTGTGGCTCCAGAAAGGGACCAGAGGTCTAACGGACGTTAGCGGAGAGAAGAAGCAGAACTTAACTGCCCTTGCCCATGGGCCTACAAGACACTAAAGATTTCATAACATGGCTGCAACAGCTGTACTCTTTAGTAGTTTTGGGGTGTTACTCTTGGGAAAGCTTGGACTTGTCTATCATGGAGATGCAGTAGTTTGGCTAAGTATGTTTTATGTATGTCCAGATGGAAAACCAAAGCTTGATCTTGCTTGACTTGTGAGTATTGTTGAAATGTACAGGAAAGACCTGCAAGCTTATTTGTATAGCCGCGTATGTACAGCTATGCTTTATTCCTACAGGCTGAGGTGAAGCCTTTAAAGCATACGTGTTTCAGTACGCTATTGGTTTTCGATAGCATTTCATTTGCAGTCACCTACGTTCAATGCTAATTCCCTGCTAAAACTGTCAAGTCTGTAGAATGAAATGATTACTTTTATGTTTTTAATTGTTAGTGATTAGTTGTTGTTGAAGTGTTTCATTCCTTAATCACTGGTTTTCTTATTTGGTAAAATAATTTGAAAGCTAATTTAAACTCTGCTCCTGCATCTGCACAGAGACCCATTAATGTGATTGCAGAGCTGGTTTCAGTCTAGGTCCTCAGGCAGTAATTTCTGATAGTGATGTCATTCATGTGATGAAAAAGGGATGACTAGTGAATTACAAGTAAGAAGGAAGCGGTAATTACACTGGTTGGGTTTGTTTTTTAATATCTGTCTGAAAGCTCCAACTTGTTTGAAAGGCAGACTTCACCGAGCTGGGTGAAGTGGCTCCTGTTCCCAGGTGTCTGCCTTGTACATTTGCCATCCCTGGGGCAGGCATGGCTGAAACCATGCGAGCCTGTTCTGTGCCACCACAGGCGATACCGATACTGATACCGCATAGCTGCTATGGTTTGCAGCTCACCCTTGTCCGTACCGGGCTCTGTTGCTGCAGGAATGGTGACGCTTGCCAGCGTCTGTGTCAGCACCAGCCCTGCCCTTGAAGTCCCGTGTGAACTGCTTGTGAGCTACAGGCATCTCAGTAGCCACTGGTGAACCTGGCCCTTCTGTAGCCAAAGACTCTGTATTGCCTTTTTGATCCCAGTTCAGGCTTTCTTGTGCATATTCTGTGTCAGTTATGGCACTTTCTGACCTTTGGATGTTGAGGATGAAAGCTTTCAGGTTCTTCTAGCCTTTTGTTGCTTAACAGGTCAGTGAGCCAAGTAAAACCGTGTCTGGGTTTTCCAAGACCTTCAAATGGATTGGTGTAGATTTCTTTGCTTAGTCACTCAGCTTTACAGTTGGTCTTGTTTTCCTTTCCTCATCAGCTGCCAAGTGAACTTCTGTTGTAACAAGATGGGCAAGGTCAAAGAAGCAAGCTAACAAAATAAAATGACGTGTGGAACATTAAGCAAAGCCAGATACAGAACTAGCTGTGCGCCAAGAATGACTTCCCTGCTCTGATAACCACCAGTGACTCTGTTAGGAATTAGGTTACTCTGTTAGGAATTAGGTTAGTTTGATGTTTTTTTTTTCTCTTTAGGACAAGTGGCAGATCTAACTATGGAAATCCTTTTTCTGATGAAGATGTGGTTGGTTCTGCTTCAGTCAGGGCTTTCTCTTCCTTCCCTCCTTCATCAGCTTTTATATTTCCTGACTCTGAACGGATTCCATATCCATGCTATTTAAAGGTGCTTTACCGGATAAAACCTTATTACAGCTGAAAAAAACCCGCTAGTCATCCAAACCAGGAATATATATCAGTGACATTTCACCTTTAAGGCTTTTTTTTCAGTGTTACATAATTGCATCAGGTATTCAAAAAGTAAACATAACACCATTTTGCACGTCTTGCTGCCAGACAGACACTAAAATACATAAGTCTTTTGGCTGGAATGTCCAGATTTATGGTGGTACTTACTCCCATGAGTAAGGTCTTGACTGAGTTCCTGGCATGAGGAACAGCACGTGAGTTGAATCCAAGAGCATACCTCTTAGCATTAAAGATGCAACTATTTTGAAATGGTTTCAAATAGCATGGCTGTACTACCAGAAGACAAAACCTTAATTTTAAAGCCCCAAAATTAGCAGTAGCTTTCCAGAGGAGTTAGTAGATCAGCTCTTGTAGCAAACTGTGTTAACTGAAACTGAAAAGTCTTCAAGACAGAGGCCTCTTGCAATAGGCGTCATCCAACACAATACAGGTTCTTGCTGTCAGATGCCACACTACCTCGTCCTGATGAACACTGGTGTGTACACCTGTAAAAAAAAAAACAAACCTTTAAAGGATCAGCAGATCCTGGTGATGTGGCTGTCACAATTTGCTTTTATTGCTAGGAAGTTGCTTTGAGAAAAGGACATTCCTATAAAAATCGCAAAGGGTGCAATTAGTACATTTTTTGTGAATATCGTCTCCACTTCTGTCCTCGCCCTGGCCCCATCCAGGAAACATATCCTGGATCATCCTCCTATACATGTAAGAGCACACGTGGAAGAGAGATATTCATGACATTTCTCCTTAAGAAAGCTTAACGCAGTTATTGCATCAGATGCAGGAACTGAAACTCGGCTGGGTTTCACATTTGCTGCTCCAGCTTGGTGCCTGGGGAAAGCTTTTATCATCATTGTTCTCTGCTGTTCAAAGCTGCAGAAGTAGAGACGTGACCGATGGACTTGGGCCCTGAGCTTCCACCTTGGAAGTCAAGATCCTCCCGCTCCCTGTTATGAGAATGGCAGCATTGTGCCCTTATCCTGTAACAGGAAAAATTATAAAGAATTTCAAAATTTCAAACCTTCCTCCAGTTCTGGTTCCCTCCTGCTGTTTATACACATTAGAAGCAATGCAAAACCAAACAAAAATAAAAAAACATACACACCCTGCCCCCCAAAAACTGTTAATTGATGCTTTTCCCAAATCGGAGAGGATGCAAATAGGTTGGCAGTTTCATAAATAACAGTAGTTATTGGTTGTGAAGGATAACATGCTTGAGATGGCTCTCACAGTAGTGTTGAATCCCGATGAGGCTTAAGAGAACCTGAGTTTAAAGAAAATAAAATACTACATTTTAATTACAATATTGATAGGGTTGGAGATGGGGCAGCCTACACAACACTTGCAAAACTGGCAGTTGTTGTTTGCTAACGGGGTTGGACTGCTGTGTGCGTCGGCCAGGATGTAGCAACATTCATTAACTGGGGGAGCAGAAAAGTGGAGTTAAAGCCGTCTTGATTATTTTCCTAGATTACAGATAGAGAGCACTGTCACTGTAATTGGTTCCAGAATTTGACATTAACGTTGCTGTGATTAATTACTCTGAAGTACCTTTGTTGAAAGTAGATTTATTTTAGAGAAGGGTAGTAGTTCATGTCAATATTTTTATTTTCATGAATGCTAGTTAGAGAGGGAAGAATCCTAGAATTTTGTCCAACACTGTATTTCTTGTCTCAGTGTGACCAAGCATGGGTTTTCCTTGTTTTCTTTATGGACAGTGCTGGAAAAATTCCCAGCATTGAACTTGCTTGTAAGTCAAAGAGCCATGCCCAGTGAGTTGGAAGGAAGCGCTTTGTTAAGGACAGCTTCCTTGTCTGGAAGCACATGTAAATGAAGGGGAAAAACATGCCACAGTCTTGTCAGACAATCATTTCTAATTTTACAGCAGTGTAATAATCCTGGGTATCTGGTTTGTCACTGGGCTCATTTGACTACACTCGGTAGCAGAAAATCAAAAAAAAACCCCAAGTTGAAATCTTAGCTTTTTAATAAATGAGCTTGCTTTCTGTGGGCTAATATCAGCAGTGATGTTTACCATCCATTTTCACCTTAATGATGTTTTTCTTGTCTGAACTTGAACTGTTGCCATTCAAGGAAATGCTAACCTGAAAATAAACTCCTTAAAAGTCGAAGTATCATTTGACTTTGTTCCTCTTTCTGTTTTCATTGCCTACGCAATTTGTTTACTCGGTGGATTTTTTTTTTTTTTTTTTCTAGGCTGGGACTTTCCAGTGACGTGTCCTCAGCTGGAAGGAGAGGGAAGTTTCTCACTGCTGAGCAACGTTGGGATTTTACATTTTCCAAAACTCTTCCCGAGTGCCATTTATGGTTAATGATACGGATCTAGTTCGGTTTTATTTCCCTCTTTAAAGAAAGAGATGTGCAACTACAAGCCTCTCCTGCTCCGATGTCATCAGCTTTTTTTTTTTTGTCTGCTGAGACCAACTGGAAAGTTCTAACAGTCTCCCCCTGCATTGATCATTTTCCACAGTCACCGGCTGTACCATGTTTCCCCTGGCAAAACCTTGTTCTGGACCTCATCAGTTCTCAGTGTTATTATTCGATCCCACTTATCTTCTGTCTTCAGTTGCATGACTCACTACATCGGTGGTGTTACCGTGCTACAAAGGCACCAACCTTCTTACTTAGCTCAGTTACGTCCTCTTTCAGCTGCCCTTGTTTTTCATTCCTGTTTTGCCTCAAATTCAAAATGGTCATCTGCTGTTGGCTATCTAGGCTGAGGTCATGTAGGCTGAGGCTAACTCCTACTGCCTACCTGGCCTACTGTGGTGGGGGCCACCGGGACCCAAAAAGCCACTCTGTTGCTCCCCTCCTTAGCAGGACAGGCAGGGAGAGAATGAGATGGAAAAGAAAGAAAACTTGTGGGTCAAGATAAAGGCAAAAAGCAAAAGCAAAGGCCGTGTATGGTAGCAAAAGGAAAACAAGATTTTATTCTCTGCTTCCTATTAGTAGGCGATGTCCAGCCACTTCCTGGGAAGTAGGGCTGCAGTATGCATAGCCACTGCTCTGGAAGATAAAACATCATAAAAGACAAATGCCTCCCCTCCTCTTCCTTTTCCCTTAGTTTTTATATCTGAGCTGATGTCATATGGTATGGAATATCCCTTTGGTTGGTTTGGGTCAGGTGTCTTGGCTACATCCTCTCCCAAGATCTTGCCCCCTTCCAGCCAACTTCTGGTGTGTGTGGGGGAATGTTGGAGACACAGCCTTGATGCTGTGTGAGCACTGCTAGCAGTAGCCAAAACATTGGTGTGTTATCAACACCTTTCTACATACCAATAGAAAGCACAGCACTATGCAGCTTGACCCAATACACCTACTCTCTTTTGATGCCACCCATTCCTTTATCCTTTAAAACTTCTCAATAAATTATTTCATGCTTTCTTTTGCTGTGACTTCCTTGCTGCTGCCTTCTGCAATGCTCCTTGTATCCAAAATACCCACCACCAACTGTTGTTTTTAAATTGACCCTCAGGAGTAGGCAAGTCAGAAACTACGTAGACAGTAGACTTCTCCTTATTATACTAACCAGAAGGCATTGAAGAATAATTAAAACATGTAACAGAAGAGAGCTAGGTCTTATTATTTGGTTCTGATTTATTTTAATAATATACCGACAAATGCAAATAAAACTGAACAAAGTACTTGCAAAATCATACTAGCATAACTGTGTGCTGTGACGTGTCTGGTAAAAGACGGGCAAATCAATCAGCTGCTCCTTACACAGGCTCTTGAGGATGGGGTTATAGAATACCAAATACCATGTGACAAGGTGAGGTGATGCAATATTTATAAAATACATGCAACTCCCCAAAGCAAATGATGTCGTTCTTCCTTTTAATCCTAGAAAAGATTAAATACTGGAATAAGGCTACTGTCAAATGGCCTTCCTTTTGGCAGGTACAGACGCAGGGCTCTCACTGACTTTATGAAGAGCTGTATATATTTATGTGGAAGTTATGAAATTTAATAGGATGTGTTATATTTATTACTTGCAACAAACCTTAAAGAGTAACAGTGATAAAGAAGGATGGGCTTGAACATTAGGAGTACAGGATATGCCAAACCAGTTCCTCCCATTTGTTCACCAAGTTTCACATGTATGTACTTTAGAATGGCAAATAAATTCCTTTTTAACAAGATTATTCTTCTCTTACCATCAGTGATGCGCAGTCAACAGACAAATGCAAGTTATAACCAAAGGACTCATTCTACATAAGTGTTAAAATATGTGTTTTTTAAAACAAAAATTAATGTTGGGCTGTACTGAGTTGCATAGCTGTAAAAAGTCAAGCTTAAAAGTTGTTAAAATTCAAGTTTTAATAATGGTCAACTAGGCAGTTCTTAGTAAGTATGTGCTTATTACATGTATGTATGTACAATCTTTTTATTAAAATACCTGTCAGCAACAATTGCAAAGACTTCAGTCCAAACAAACACCAGGGACTGTTTCTTACACTTTAACTGAACTGTAAGTAAGTGAGGTAACCGATTTGGACATTCAGTAAAGTAGGAGTCATGGAACACGTTTCCCTTATCTGTTAATATAAACCAGAAAAATTGTGTAACTTGTTGATGACTACTAGAATTTACGTAGCACTGGAGAAATTTTTGGTTGCAGTATTCATTCATCAGCATTTACGGTTGTGAAATCAAATGCACATAGTCTTTGCCCTTGGATTATTTATGAGCTTTGCTTTGAGATAGTGATGAATACTTTGTCTCAAAAATAGGCAGGATTTGCTAACAGAAAAAACAAAGACTGGGACAAAACTCCATTGGTGTCTACAAAGCTGTGAGACTTTGGTTTCAGTATCTTGCTGACAGCCACTTGCGTTATAACTGGGAAGCCAAAGTTGCCTGGGTCGACCATAGGCAGTCCACTTTTCATTCCACAGTGTGCCTTCGGTGGCATGGCTTGGCACTGCTGCCCGCTATCCAATGTATCTTCAGCGTTGTGTACCCTTCTGTTAGAAGGCAGAAAACATGGGGGAGTTGCATCAAAAGGCTTCTCTATTACACCATTTTATGTTTTTTCTTCCGATTCATTTTAATTTCTTACTATTTCCCTTGGGCAATGCCACAACTGAGCCCTTTTTCCCCTTCCCAGCAGCCCTTGGTTAGTAGATCATTTTTCTAGGTAGCACCGCTGTTTTAAACTACCTCTAACAATGTAAACCAACAAATACACTTTGTGCGTACATCATGCTGGCACAGCCAGTGCACTGGTAGGCTGAAACACTTGTATTTTGGAAACCTACTCAGTACCAGGCATCGTTGAAAGTGAATTCTCACTGCAGAAGAAGAGCGTTTTTGTGAGTCACTGCCGAAGTGGCATGCCCCTAGGTCAGGAAGGGATCAAGAGATTCCCGCAGGGACATCTGCGAACGCGGCTCCAGGTTGCTTCTCTAGACGTAAGAAGAAAGGATAAACAAGTCAGGTGTTAGGTTGCCTGTATTGCCATAGATATACCAGGGCGGGTCTGTGGGGCTGGCAAGTACTCACTGCAGCCACTATCTCCTTCAATGGAAGAAATTACTTTATCTCTGAGGTGATTAATACTGTTAAAACTGGATATGCATTTATTTGTCATGCTTTTGGATTCCATGGTTCATGTAGAAGAAAATAATATTTAACACTAAACAGATGATTAATGTAATTGAACCATCCTTTGTAGCCCACATCCCATAAAAAAAAGAAAGCAATTGCCAATTTTTGTATGTGTGATTTTGCCACCCAAAGGTAAAAAAACTTTATGGTGTCAGTGGGTGTCAATAACAAATGTAGTAGCTAGATCAGGAACAATGGTGGATGTAACCATAGTTTGCTGACTGTGGTTATCCAAGAGCCATCCTGAGTTTAACTTTGTCTTGGTCTTTTCCACATTGGAAAGAGACAGCAATAAAATTCCCACATGGTTTTTCTATTAAAGTATGAGTGAAATGTTTGTTTCAAGATCTGGATTAATAATGTCAGTCGTGTACTTTTATTAGTTCACATGTTAAGCTGACCCAAATTTCCTTCAGAACCTTGGTAGATCATAAATCTAAGAGAAGCTGAGACCGTGTTTTGATACCCGGCGGCAGCGCCAGGCATGTGTTCAGGCAGCCTGATAGCTCCTCTCCTGCCCCAGCCTGGCCCACTTGTTCCTGACCATCCACTGCATTTCCCTCCCAGTTTATCCATACTGCTTATGCCGCCACAAAATGAACCAGCATTGGAATTCGGCCCAGCTGAGCCCAGCAAAGAGGGCGGGGGAGCTTGGTTTGCTTTTCAGCTGCATCGATTCCCTCGCTTGCTTCACTGCACGGGAGCGCGGGCAGTTGCTCAGCTCCAGGGAGGAATCGATGCGGAGGAGAAAGGGCGGGCGAGCCTGATGCTCGCGGCTGAGATAAGGAAAGTGCTCGGGGAGGGCTTGCAGCTGCTCCCACTCAAATCGCGTTGACCTGCAGCCTACACAAATGCGTTGCTTGTGCTGGAAGTTGGGTTGCTCCCAGAAAAGAGGCCCATAGTTAGGAGCAGGGTTGCACTGGAAGCAGTCCGTAAACAGTGCCTTAGATTTTGATTTTCTGCAGTTATGTAAAAACTCTTTTCTGCATGGCTGAAACTTCAGCTATTGAGTGGGTTAAAAAGATCACCTAGCAACAGCTCTACCCATTTCGAAGCTGGTACGAACTGCAGCGTAGAGGAGAATAGAAAATAATTAAGTGGGTTGCGTTTCAGGACAAAACGCCTTGTCTTTTCATTCTACCTGTTCTCTCTGTGGTAATCAAACTTTGCATCTAAGGTATAAACAATCAAAACAGGCTTCCTATTTTAAACCAGCGTACCCTTGTGTATAACCAGGATTGCGTCCGTACTGTTTATACTCATTTGAGACTCTCTATCTCTGTGTCATTGTTCAACAATTTACATTTAATAAATCACTCTAGTTCTATTCATGGCTCTCTGGTGTTGCGTACCTATGTTTGCTGGCACGTTTTTCTAATTCTCCACGTTAGAGAACACATATAGGTAGGGCCTGAGTCACAGTCCCCTGAAAATGATAAGTCTTTCAATGAAGCTTAGAAAGCTTAGAATGTGTCATGTACCCAGTCTCTGACAACACATCCAATTATAGTAAAGAATACAATACTAAACTCATTTTAGCAGATCTAACTCCCAGCACGTGGAAGGATATGGGGAGATTTTTCTCCCCAAAGGGATTTTTGAAAAGCAGTTTCTGTAGAGCAGAGGTAGATGCGGGAATTCACAAAGTGACTTTTCTGAAGAAGCTTTAACATTTTCCAGTAACAGCCTGCACCGTTTCTGTGCATAAAGATTGTTAGCCAAACCCCAAAACTTCAAACTACCGGAACATAGTGTGAACCTCAGAGATCCAGGAAATCCATTTCAGGCAAGTATAGTCATCTTCGTACCTCCTTCCCTTTCTCAAGGACCTTAATCTCTCTGAGTAACTCCCTAAAAGTCCACCTGGACAAGGACAATTTCATACCCATACCGAGCAAAGGTTTGAGTACAAGGATAATATCTTTCTTTGTGTTAACCTTAACAGCAGGTAAAACCCACAGTGGAAAGAAGTGGCGCGGACTTCAACTGTAGCTGTATGGGCAGGAATGGACCACGGGCACTACGTTCTCTTGAGGCAAAGTCCATTCCATAATGTCCATCATAAGTTGCTATGAAGCCTGAAGTGGTGGGAATGTGAAAAAGTATTTTTAGGGAATGACAAACATATTACACATGAAAAAAAAAAACCCCAACCCAAAACCCCTTTCTTTTCTCTAAGGAACGCTTGGAAGAGATGAATTTACAACCTATACAATGTCACTCTCTCAAATGACATTTGCCAACTTATTCTTTAGGTTCCCTAGGTCGGTGATGCTGCAGGTATGTATGCTAGGGTATTCCTCTTGTTTGTTACTTCCTTTTGAGTGAAGCTTTTTCGGGAAAGGGTAGCATGTGTTCTTGTAAAGCTTGTTCCACGATGCATACTGACAGAAAGCAAAACTAACCTCACCAGGGCAACGTTTGAGCACCTGATATTTTTTATATATGTATATGCATACATATATATATTATATATACACTTATGCATACATTCTACAATAATTTAATTTGTATACAATATAAATATATATTCAGATTTAATCTTAAAATGCCCATGTGGCTGCCAGGCTGATCACTTTGCTTTACTCCATATTCCTTTCTCTTGCCTTTGGCCAGTTTCCTGGGATATTTTCAGGACTGCAAACCCCTCAAGACAGAGACTGTGGTCTCCATTTGTATTTGTACAGTATGTTACACATAGGTTGTATAATACAGCCATATAAGTGAAAACAGGTCTGTATGTATTTTCTCAGGTACTGTACATATATTATTCTTCACAAGCTTTATATTCACATATATCCATAGTATACATATCTACTTATATGCAGAAGGTCTGAGAGAGTGGCTATAGGTTATAATCTTTTCTATGTGTGACTGATCACGAGAAAAAGATTTCTGCCAGTGTAGCAATGCAGAACTTGATCATCACATATGCAGGTTTGTAGGCTGAAACGCTCTTGGCTATTTCAAGCTGTAGAGGAGTGATAACCCTCTAGCAGCTATTGACTGCCCCAGCCTACCTCTCACACTCAACAGGACCTCGGTTATGCCATTAGTTTTAAACACAGCCTCCATCCGGGGCAAGATTTTTACTAAGGTGTCCATAATCAGGCAGTAGAGAAACCAGAAAGCATGGCAACAGGGAGCTTTGTAGAATCCAGTTGCTCCCCAGCCCACCTCCCCAGACTGTGAGTCATGCTTTCTGCTTACGTGAATGAGATGAGTTTCTTGTATGTTATGTCATACTTTTCCCTACCGCTAGTCGTCTTCCACTGTGAAATTTTAGTTGATTGATTACTTTAGCCATACTCAAGGCACACTACTACCATATGATTTCATTTTATGCAGTAGACTGTATATTCTGAAATGTTACAGCTGGGTATTTTTTACAGTGTAGATGTCCACTGAAAATGATCCTTCACAGCTGATGCGAATAAGGCCTCAGGTGTCTAGGTCAAGCCGTAAGAACTCTAGGGAGACCAGCGTTAGTCCTCCAGGAATGATGGGCATCTTGCTTACAAGCCTGTTGTCCAGCTGCTTCTCTCCGTTCCATCAAGGACACCATCATTTCAGCTGCAGAGGAACAACAGCAAGGCATCTTGTTCTTCAGGCCTGCAAGTCAGTGCTTGAAGTCACAGCTGTTGTCCCTCCTCAGGAACAGCAACCCTCTGCACAGACACCTTCTTCCCTCTGTGCACACGCGCATCTTTCCAATTCCTTTCCTGATAGATCTCCTAAGTAAATCACCTGCTAAGTGAATTATCTGCCACGTCTGTGCGTCAGAGCTAAGACTGTTCATGTCCCCTGTAGTGGTGTGGGATTTACACGTCATCAAGACAGCAGATGCGTGTTTGGTGGTGTGGTCTGAGAGCTTATGGTGACCACCCCAAACATGATACCCAATTCAGGGACCTGGATTTAAAGCAGCTCCATCCCAAGCTTGCTGTGTGCTCCCTGCCCATACAGAGATTTACTCTACAGGTTGAACTAACTAACTGTAATACCTTAGAGGCTTGAGCTGAAAATGTCAAATTCCCAGAATGAAACCCTGAAGGAAAATGTAAGATTTAAATAGACTTGAAAGCAAGCTGCTTATATTGCATCTATTAGTCTGTTAGTTTTATTACCCTTACAGAAAGGAGGGTGTACTCTATATTCTACTGGGTTGTCTTCTGTTGGAAATTTCATTAAGAACTGTGCCACAATCTCGCACTAGGGAATGACTCCAGGAGTTGATTTTGCTATTTTATGCTGTTTCTTGTTTACTTTGGACAGGAAAAGAACGGTACTTTAACTTACAGCATTTGAAGTCTGTGAGGTGGTGGTGCCCCCTAATGTCTCGAAGACAAAAGACTAGTAGTTTTTTGCTGACTTCCTCTCAAAGCTCTCTATAGGAAGAACGCTGTAAATGACATTTTATTTTCTCAAAGATGTTGCAGCACTCAAAACTGTGTTTCAACATCCCTTTCTGGTATTGCATACACATAAGGAATAAAATAATTTTCTTTTTAAATCTTATTTTAATTTTCATTTTCAAGCCTGGAAAAATAATTTGTCTCAGAAGTCAGGCTCTTAATCATTTATTGACAACAAACAAATAGGCATGAGTTAAAAAATATTGATCTCCTAGCATTTTATCTTGATTTTTTAAAAGAGTCAGCATGGAGTATCAAGTTAATGCAGATACCATCATGTTCATAGAAGAAATGGTGATGGACAGCAAACTGCATACCGTGGTTTCTAGAAGTGTGGTACTGCTTATGTGCCAAACACTAAAAAATTTGTTGAAACAAAATTAAAACAAAAAACGTTGCTGTTTTCTGCGGAGTGCTCCTCAGCATTGCTGCATTTCTTCCCCTCTGGTCCAGACGGGGTACAGCGCTCAAAGCGAACGTGCGAGCTCTCACCTTATTTCTTGACCTGCCCTGGATGGTGCGCTGCCAGTCTCGGTACGATCTCCTGGATACCAACACACTGGTCAGTCAAAGGCAAAAGCTCTGCCTTTTTGCAACTACTAGGTGGATTTCGGCAGATTCACTCCTACTCCTGAGGAACTCAAGTTGCAGCCAGGTGGAGAAGGGAAGAAACTTTAGGAATGAGCGCTTGCTATGAAAAAAAAAGTTGCTTTGGGTTAAAGTTGCTTTATATGTATATAAAGATGTAAAGTTGCTTTGGGTTAAATATATTTTTTAAAATATAACCATAGAAAAAGACAGTGGTAGAATGTTTTTATCCTGGAAAACTACAGAGCACTCCTAGAGAGTGAAACTTGATTTTCTGTCCTGTTAAACTGTACAAATGGTCTCTTGGCAGTGGTTCGGCCCAGACCAAAAAGCACACTTCACAGTCTGAGAATCAGCATGAATGTAGGACTATTCTCTGTAGGCAATTTGGACGTGGCCACTTTGTTTTGAAAGGTAACTGGACTGGGTTATCCAATGTGAGTTGAACTCAGCACCATGTTTACAGACTGCAGTTTTAGGGCGGCCTCCAGTGGCAGCGTTTGTTAAAGCCGCAGTCAGATTACTCAGCAATGTTTTAGGTGAACACGAGACCAGTATGTGCCCTGGTCCATGACTGTTCTTAAGAACAACTTGCCGGCCTAAGCTACTGATTTTCCTCACTTCGTGGGTATAAACTGTATGTCAGCTCTGATTTTCCATCCCTTTACACTCTGAATTTGTTGCAAGATCATCAACCAACTTTTCTGGTTGGGGAAAATTAGCAAATCAGTGGCATTTTGAGGCACAAACCAGAACATAACCTAAACTACAGCAAAATGGTCAACCGAGTGGCAAAAATGGCAAACACTGCAGTTATCTTGGAAAAATAACAAAATTATACAACTGTAGAATGGTGCAGGGTTTGTGGGATCATGGAATTAAAAGGAAGTTCCTCGGTGTTTGACTATTGTGCTGAATATTTCACTTCCAAACCAGCTTAACAGCATCATGAAACTTAGTGATCTCGTGATCCTTGGTTTTGGGTACAGGAGTCACATAAGATTCAGATGATATTGCTGTTGCTAACGTGAACAGGGGACAACAGCAGATGACTGATGAAAAATAGTAGTTGTGCTGATCTTGAGGACAGACAATTTTACTGAACAAAAAAATAATAAAATAGGTTACAGTTTAATATCAGGACTGTAGAATATCAAGACAGCTAACAGATTCAGGCTGGTTTCATGGAAAATAGGGAGCGATAAGGAAGAACATGGCTTCAGATCCTCAAGCTCTTGAAGCTAATGGACGGAGGGGAGAGCAAGAATGGGGTTTAGAGGTGCTTTCACTTCACTGACTTTGGTAGGGTAGCAGGGTAAAAAAGCATTGGAGAAAATCTGGAAATTGTATATTCTGGATGAATTAAATTCAGCTATAAAACTGGCAAAGTCAGCAGTTGTGCCTCAGAAACTGGTAAAAAACTTAAATAATTAATCAAATAAAAAATTCTAGAATCATAGAATTGTTTAGGTTGGAAAAAAGACCTTTAAGACCATCAAGTCCAACTGCTAATGTAACACTGCCATCCCACCACTAAACTATGTCCTTAAGCACCTTGTCTACCTGTCTTTTAAATACCTCCAGGGATGGGGACTCGACCACTTCCCTGGGCAGCCTGTTCCAATGCTTAACAACCCTTTCGTTGAAAAAATTTTTGCTAATGTCCAACCTAAACCTGCCCTGGTGCAACTTGAGGCCATTTCCCCATATCCCACCGCTTGTTACTTGCGAGAAGAGACCAACACTCACCTCACTACAACCTCCTTTCACGTAGCTGTAGAAGGTGATAAGGTCTCCCCTCAGTCTCCTCTTCTCCAGACTAAACAACCCCAGTTGCCTCAGCCTTGTAAGACTTGTGCTCCAGACCCTTCACCAGCTTTGTTGCTCTCCTCTGGATATGTTCCAGCAATGCAATGTCTTTTGTGTAGTGAGGGGCCCAAAACTGAACACAGTATTCCAGGTGCGGCCTCACAATGCAAAAATGCTTCAAGTCCTACATTGTGGTAAAAGACAGAGGCCAAGAATTGCTGTCAGTGTCCACCGCATGGGGCATGGGGAACATTGGGTGCTGTGGGAAGGGACACCTCGGGCAGACCCTTCGGAGAGAGCGTTGCAGGCGCCTCGGCCACGTGGGGTTTACACATGGCAGTTGTGCAGTGTCGTGGTTTAACCCTGGCTGGCAACCCAGCACCACGCAGCCGCTCGGTCACTCCCCCCACAATGGGATGGGGGAGAGAATCAGAAGGGCAAAAGTGAGCAAACTCGTGGGTTGAGATAAAGACAGTTTAATAGGGAAAGCCAAAGCCTCACACGCAAGCAAAGCAAAGCAAGGAATTCAGTCACCACTTCCCATGGGCAGGCAGGGTTCAGCCATCCCCAGGAAAGCAGGGCTCCATCACG